GGTAGGTGTTCAAGATGGTATGAGGATTCACCCAGGCAATCTGGTCCCAGAGCCCAGATGCATAGCCAGGGTACTATACTGCCTCCGTACAATAACAAACCAGACACAGTTCAGACCCTCAAGGAGATAACCCCACTGAGGGAAACAGACGAGCACCAGGAACAGATATTCATCAACATGGCCAACCACGAATATAAAAGGAGCAATTAATTGTAATTAGAAAGATCCCAGAAGACTTCAAAGTGGAAGTGGTATTTCAGCTGGATGTTGAAAGAAATGAGTAGCATTGCAACAGATGGGGAAAGAGCACCATGCTTAGAAGCTAATGGACCCCTGATGGGGGCAGGAACACAAGTGCCACATGTTTTAGTTTTTCTTCCAATGTGCAATTTACCTCATTTTCCAGCGTCCTGTCCTGTTCATGAGGATGGATTCTGAAGGCCTTGAAGCCTCAGATTTTGCAGGCTCAGAGCGTCTGAAAGTTGGGCCTGTCTTCTCATATCTCAGTGGGGTTTTAAGTGTCAATGTGGCCTGTGCTGAGATCCTCCCTAAGCCAGGCCTCTGATGGTAAGATTTGCTCACCAGGCAAACTTGCACAGTCTTGCCATTTTCTCTGGCCATGAAAGTCTGGTGTGTCCGAGCCAGCCACCAGCTTGAAAACTTGGGGGCAATAGGAAACCAAAATTCCAGAGCAAACTCCCTGAGCCTCCCTTGTTCTAGCCTCCCTCATTCTCTGTTTCATCTACCTTCCTCTGGTAGAAAGATTCATGCTCCTTCTCCACCCAGTGGCTTCCTTCCTTTAACATGTCTTCATCAATCCCATTGTTGCTGGTGCTTATCCCCAATCTTAAATGCCCCAAAGAGCTCTCTTCAGATAGAAGAGCTAGAATGGGCCAGATGAAGAATCCAGTGAAAAGGAAGGAAGGAGGGAGGGATGGAAGGAAGGAAGGACAGCAGGATAACAATTTGAGATTTGTGCAAGTTGGGCCTCACTTCTGCTTTAGCTTGTGTCTCTGCTTTCTGGAAGGAGAGCTGACAAATGTCACAGCTATCTGATGTTCTCTGCTGACTGTGGACACTCAGTGCACCCATGAGCCCTCATTCTGCCTAGACTCAGAGGATCCCTGTCCCTTCTTGGCCTCATTTGGGTCTAGGAGCTACTTGACAGCATGTCCCCCCTTTCTGGGCAAAGCTACGTGATTTCTGCTTAAATGTTGCACAGGCCATATTCTTGTCTGCATATCCCCATCAGCACCATGCCTTACTGGGCCTGTATGACCCCCCTGCCAGCCCTGGGTGCCCCATGAAACTCTGCTCTGTTGACATCCATAAGATTTCTCTATCCTGGTCTCTTCCTACCTCTCCTGCCATTTACTCTCAGCTCTTTCTTTGACTCGTCTTCCTCTGCCCACGCTGAAATGTCGGTGTTCTCCAGCTTCCCATCCCTGGCCCCTTGCTCCTCTCCCTCTATGTGCTCTCCTTAGAAGACCATTCTCTGCCTGCGAGTTGTTGATTCCCAGACTGATATCTCTGGCCCTGACCTTTCCTGGTTTCAGCCTCAAGCCTTCTGCTGCCCGTGAGCATCGCCACCTGGAGGTCCCGGGGAAACCTCCAATTCGACATGTGCCAAAGTTAACTAACTCTCATCTCTCTTCCCCAATGCCCTCTGTCCAATCCAGTAACATGTGTGTCATTGCAGACTCCACCCTTTGCCTCACCTACTCCTATTCTGCACAACCCTACCTGCTCCTCCATTCATTTATCAAATAGCACCCATTTTAAGTCAGAAATGTTTCTTGAATGGATTGCCCCCCTCTAGATCTCTTCTATCATTCTCTATTTCAGGTCCTTATCGTTCCTCATACTTCTGACTGCAACTGTTTCCCTCCTCTTTCACCTGGCCTCCAGGCTCCCTGCCCTCATATCCATCCTCCATGTTGCCTCTGGAGTAACCCACCTAAGATGAAAACCACCAAGGTTCCTCTGCTTGAGAGCCTTCAATGCCTCCTCATCACCCAAACAAATTGCCAGCTCTGAGTCTGGTAGATAAGGCCCAGCATGATCTGGCTCCTCCTCTCCAGCCTCAAGTCAGCACATCCTGCCTCACACTTCCTGCTCTGAAGATGACACAGAGCAGCTTCTAGCTTTCCAACTTCCCATGCTGGGTTATGAGTTCTATTCTATCCTATCCTATCCTGTCCTATCCCATCCCATCCCATCCCATCCCATCCCATCCCATCCCATCCCATCCCATCCTATCCTATCCTATCCTATCCTATCCTCTGCCTAGAGTGTCCTTCCTACCCTTCTTCACCTGGATCACACTAACTCATCCTTCAAGACTTAGCCCAGCCATCACGTGGCTCAGGAAACCTTCGTTAAAGCCTCAGGTTAGGGAAGTGCTCCTGTTGCATCCTGCTCTTATTGTCTCAGGATTTATGAACAGCATGATGGAATTATCTCTTTGGGAGTCTTTTTGCCCTATTAGGCTATAATCTTGTCAGTGTCTTAGCCACCTTTGCCTCCTGCCTCGTCCAATGCGCAACACTTAGTAGGTGCTCAGTTAATGTTGTTCACCAGAACGTAACCCCTTCAGAACAAGGGCCATGGCTTTTCCACCCTTGGACTCCTAGCAGGCACTCAACAAATGTTCCAAGAGTGAATGCTGCTGCCATTGACAGCCATGATGTGATGAGGGGAGGAGGATTCTGACCACCCAACTCCTACATGTACAAAGGATCTCAGGGACCGTGGAAACTGCACCCCAGCATTCCATCCCTGAGTGACAGGCGTTTTGAGAGTGAGATTTGAAGGTATTAAGCTCTCTGGTAATTATTTAAAAGAATAATCCACTAGGTCCGCAGATGATGGCAGGCTGTTTCATGAGCTCTCCCATAGCACCAATGGTCATGATCACCTCAATAAAAGGTATTATTATGAATTAAAGAAATTATGACAAAGAAAGAGAGTTTGTTGGGGTCAAGAGTGGACACTGGTTTCCCTCAGGTGGGCTCCACCTGCATCCCTGGGACAAGCTCTCCAGACCTTTCTTCCCACGGAAGCTGCCCATTGACCCTCTTCCTGGCAGCCTCTTTGCACAAAGAATCTGCTGCCTTTGTGGCTTGTCACTGCCTTTGCAACTGCAGAGCATGAATAGCTAAGGAGGCATGCTGGGGCCAACAAGAGGAGCCTCTGTGGATTCCGATGGGTCTCTAAAGGGTGGGGGAATCCACATTTTGAACACCCACCTCCTGCTAATCCTCCCGCAAAACCAGTCAGGCCGGTTGTAATGTATTAGAAAGCCCACACATTCATCCTTGGAACAACAGAGCCACTTGTTGCATGAGGAGTGTTTCACATCTATGGAACCAAGGAATGGAGAATGGGGGCCGAGGAGCTGGGCCGGACAGGGGCAGGAAGCTGGGGCAAACTGCTCAGGGCAGAGAGCATGGGTTTCAGAATTAGGTAGATTGGCTTTAAAGGCTGCTCTGCCTCTTACACGCTGTGTGGCCTGGAGCACATGACTTAACTTCTCTAAGGTGATAATTAACCCTCACAGGCTGCGGTGAGGATTAAAAGAGACTACTTACTGTAACGCACCTAGCCAGGGGCATAGAGACAGAAGGTGCTGGCAACACACTGGCTCCTTGGGACATTCTCGCAGGGCAGAAAAGTCCTGATGCCAACCCCCCACCTGCTGCTTCTCCTGAAGCAGGATGTCCTTGGGGGCACAGGAAGGGGAGTGCGGCCCAACAGCCCTGTCGGTCACGCAGAGTCACCCCAACCCCTGCTGCAGAACTGGCCATTTCAGGTGGACACCAGCGAGGGAGCTGACATTTTGTTTTAAGGAAGAGAATTTTCTAGGCTGCTTCTGGGAAGTAATGTTCTCTCAGTCTCCTCACAGACTTTTTTCACTGTTTATCTGAGTTTTCCTTACCTTCCTCCCTCTCTTCTTTTCCTTACACTGAAAAGACACAAACAACGCCTAGAAACAGTGAGTGCCAGTCTTCCTAAACACCATCATGAGTTGTGACCAACATTGAATCACCAACCACTTCAGGAAAACCCTTCCTTCACTTTCCATCTCTTTCCTTCCAGAAAAGTAAGTGATGTCCGGAGGGAAGAAGAGGCAACTAGAGGTAGAAAAGTGAGAGGAGCAAAAGGCAAGGGATGGGACTTTCTTCTTTCTTCGTCTCTGGGGGGTTAGGCTCGTCCCATAAATCCTCTGAATACTCTCCATCCTCCCAGCTCTACCCATCTATTTGCACCCCAGCATTTTACAGAGTCCACTTGCTCCTCTCCTGTTGTGTCTTTATATGTCCTTCCCCAACCCCGTCCCAGCCCCCAGTGGGGAGAGACTCTGGCCTTCAGCAAAGGTCTGTTTTCTCAGCAACAGCAGCAGCAGGAGCAGCAGCAGTGGCAGCAGCAGAGGTCTCCTCTCCAAGGAGCCCCCAGCAAAACTAGAGACCCCATGCTCCAGCTAGGGGGTAGACGAGGGGTGTTGGTGTGAATTACTCGGCAGTACCAAGAAATCACACCCACAGAGAAGAGTCGAAGCAGGCTCACCTCCTTCAACCTGGGGGCTCTATAGAGTGTCCCCCTACATCCCACACATCACCAATCGTTGATTCCCTTCCATCCCACCAACCAGCCCCATGCCACCCTGCTCGGTGCCCCCACAAGAACCTTGATGTCCTAGTGGAGCTCCCAGCCTGGCACACACACTCCTTGGTTCAGAGCCACCACGGCAGATTTCAGCCCTTTATGGTAGGCCACCTGCCAAAAACCAACCTTAGGCTGAGTAGGTGCCCTGAGTGGCTGGGGTGTGATGTTAAGTCGAGTCCAGTTAGGCTCTTGTCTGGCCAGGCTCCTGCCAGCCCAATGCTGCACCAGACAAAGGTACAGGTGGGGACCTGTGAGCCAGCCCAGCAGTCCTCAGCAACCCCCAAAAGACCTCACCCCTTTCCCTTCACCTGTAAGAATAGAGAAGAGTGCACTACCTCCAGAAGATGATCTGCCCCAGGGAAGCCATGGCGAGGGGAAGGGCCCCTTCCCACAGCAGGCTGGGTGCTGGGGTGCGTGGAGCTGCCACTGCCCTCCCGGTGCCGTGACTCACAGCCAGCGCCCGTGTGCTGGCCTTAAATAATGTGCTCAGGCCGGGAGCGATGTGTGCAGCTGTGGACGGCTCAGGTATGAGGAAACGGCGCTGCTGTGCAGAGGTCCCTGCAGGCACAGGGGCTCCCCGCCAGCCAGGGAGGCCAGGCGCCAGAGCTGCCCTTCCAAGCCTTGAGCTGGGGAGAGGGCGAGAGAAAATCTCCCCAGGCCCCTGCTTCAGGGCTTGTATTCCGCACACGTATTTTCCTCCTGACTCTGTGGAAGGGAGCACGAGGGATGGAGATTTAGTCTCCAAATAAGAAAGGAGTGGAATAGCTCAAAGTTGGGGCTGTGCCAGGAAGCTGGGAGGCTGGGAGTCTCCATCCCTGCTGAGGGTGGGTCTCCACTGTGGGGTCTCTCCTGGAGGAGATTCATGCTGAGAGACCTCAGAAAGGCTGTGAGCCGAAACGACAGGAGCGCTGAGTTTGTCACTCAGCACTGAGCTCGCCTCGGGCCCCCGAGACTGCACAGCTGGGTGGGCAGACTTCTGGTTTCGTCTCAGTGAAAGGATGTGAGGGCCTGCCCTGTCCACCTCACGATTTTTCTGAGACTCCAAAAATACCCTGAGTGTGCATTACGTAGAAGCTATTGCTGTCAGGTGAGTGGGTTAGAAAAACTGATCTCTTGATATTTCATCCAGCACTCAGATTTCCATTGAGACCGGAGTTCTTAAGGCATAAAGCTGCCTCTCTTTCTATTGTTCCCTCCATGCCCCGGAGGAGTACCCTGGGTGGTAAACTTCCACTGCCTGCCCGCCTGTGTTTGTTTCACGGTAAAGGCGCTCCAGGCCTTCAGCAGAATGAGTCCAGCGTGGGTGCATGGCTGCTGGAACAAGCATGGACTGAAGCTGGGAAGGGAAGGGAGAAGTGGGTGAGGGGAGAAGACACTGGAGGAGTGGGCGATTCAGCAGGGAAAGATCTTGAGAGTCAACCAGAGCCAGGTTCAAATCCTGGTTCCCAAGTAATCGTGACATTGGGGAAATTACTTTATCTTTCTTCAAGGCATGTCTTCCTGGTTGGTGCGAGGAGCACATGAGGGGGGTCCATGCGCTTTCCCTTTCCCCAAAGTAAGTGAAGGGGCCACACCTGGAACCCGTGACATGCCGTTAGCTAACTGGGTCCCTCGCGGTCTAGGGAGCTGGGGGAAGTGGGTCCGGTGATTTCAATAATTCCTATACATCTGACCCCTCCCCTACAGGCACAGGGTTTCTGCTCAACTCCTCCATGAGCCTTAAAAAGACCAGCCTCACCTCAAACACCCTGGAGCAGAGCCACCAAGTCTCTCTCTTCCACCCCTCCATCATTGCCACAGGATGGGCTAAGGCAGACCCTGCAGGAAAAACAAGACAACCAAACCACTGAGATGTCCCCGAGTGAGGGATAAAGTGAGCAATGGGCAGCTTCTGTCAGGAGGATGGCTGGGAGAGCCCACTCGCCACGAGGACAAGCACCATCAGGCAGGGATAGAGAGCTGAAAGCACTCTGCTGCCTCTGGAGAAGCAAATAGACATCGCTCTGGTAATGACTCCAAAACCTGAGGAGCAATGCACATCGAATAATGGGAAAACCATGGCAAAGCAACAGACCAATATTGCAAAATGGTAGAATAACATAAACCTGTGTGTGTGTGTAGAGACAGTCTTTCAAACATCGGCCTCTCCATTTGAGAGCCTCTCTTGACACTTGCTTCTCTGAGACCCTCCTGCTAATGCCTCCTACTCTGTCCTGTGCCCAGGTCATCTTCCTTCACTTCTCCCACAAGTGATTCTCTGTGATTCTGTGCTCTGCCTTCTGTTCCCACAGCACACACATTCTCTGGGCAATCTTGTCCACTCCTCTGCTTCAACTGCCCCTGTGTCTGAAGATCCCGCTATCTGTATCTCCAGCCCACGTCTCCTGAGTCCCAGCCCCACACACCCAGCTGCTTAGTGGACATCCCCACTCGCTGTCAGTGGACACAAAACTGAAGAAGTCCAAGCTAGAATGCACCATCTACCATCTCTAACTTCACTGCTCCTGCTGGGTTACACCTCTTGGAAAACAGCAACATCACGCACCAGATTGCCCAAGTCAGAATACTGCAAGTCACTCTCTACTCTCGCTTCCCCTCACCCCTAATTCCCTGTGCTCCCCAAGTCTCCAGATTCTCCCTTCTTGTAGTAGTTCGCCCAGGTTGCCATAACAAAGTATCACAGATTGGGTGGCTTAAACAACAGAAGTGTACTTTCTCATAATTCTGGAGGCTGGAAGTCCAAGATCACGCTGTCAGCACGTTTGGTTTCTTCTGAGACCTCTCTCCTTGGCTTGCAGATGACCATCTTCTGAGACCTCTCTCCTTGGCTTACAGATGGCCATCTTCTGAGACCTCTCTCCCTGGCTTGCAGAAGGCTGTCTTTTCCCTGTGTCTTCACATGGTCTTCCTTTTGTATGTCTCTGAGTCCAAATCTTATAAGCACAGCAGTCATACAGGAGTAGAGCCCACCTAATGACCTTTAACTTAATCACCTCTTTAAAGATCCTATCTCCAAACACATTCTGAGGTACTGGGAAGTAGGGCTTCAACATATGAATTTTTTCAGGGGAGAACACGATTCAGCCCATAACACTCCTTTATGCCTTCCAAATCCATCCCCTTCTCTCCATCCCCAATATTATCACCTAACTCAATCCTTAATCATTTCTCTTTTGAAATGAATTAAACAGTCTCCTAATTCATTGTCCTGCCCCCAGTCTGCCCTAAATGTGCCAATCTATCCACTTCTGCTATAGTGATCTTTCTAAAATGCAAATATGATCAGACCACTTCTCGGGTTAAAATGATCAATGGTTCCCCAGTGCCTGTGGTCTGGCCTCTTCTCACCTCTCTAGATTTTGCTCTCATGTCCCCCCTTCTCACTCTGTGTACCAGACATGTTGAGTTGCTTTGGGTTTCTCCAAAATGCTCTCCCAAGCCATTCTGCCTTTGTGCATGTTGCTCTGTCTGCCTGGAATCCATCCCTCGCCTTTTTCTTATTTTATATTGATTCTATGGGAAACTTTCCCTGCTCACTTCAATCTGGCAGGTGCCATGCTCTGGGCTCCCATGTGAACCTCATGCCTCCTTGTGTGATCCTAAATTGTGACTGTTGACTTGTCTGACTCCTTTGCTAGACACTCCTTAGAAATAGAAAAGGTGTCTTATTTATTTTTGTATTTCACACCAGCATAAGACATGCACAGAGTAAGGGATCATTACATGTTTGTTGAATAAATGCATTTTTCTTTCACAGCACACAAGGATAGCACTATTTCCTGTTTCTGCATCTATTTCATTGCTAACCTGTGAGCTCCTAGAGGATAAAAACTATGCCTCATTCATCTTTGTGTCACCAGGTCCTAGCACCATGCCAGACACATAAAAAGGACTTGGTAATATTTGATGGATGGGTGAGCAGGATCAACTTGGGATGTGATCCATCCAACAGTTTCTGGAGGAGATGTCTTGTGAGCTGGGTCGACACCATTAGAAGCAGGAGAGAACAAGTTGTATTTGAGGTAGAGGAACAATTCAGGACTAGGACAAACGGTAAAGCAGATGTGTGAAACAAATATGAAATCGGTTTTCTCCTTGTCGATCTTGGGGAGACAGAGAGGCTGAGACCAAGACTAACAATGTATGTGGAACCAAAAGGTCTTCTCATGAATTTTTAAAAAAATTCTTTAAACAGCCCAGTCACCTGGAGCTGTATTTTCTCTGTGAGCATCTGTACATTTCCCTGTGCACCAGCTTAGTTTCCCTCATGGCCTATCCTGGCTCATAGAAGAACACCAGCTTCTGTGCGGGGCTTTGCACACACGAAAGGCCATGAGCTCATGTGATCCTTACCATAACCCTACGGGTGAGTTTTACAAATGGGAAACTGAGTCTCAGAGACTGAGGGCTTTGTTCAAGGTCAATAATTTGACTTTCCCCAGGCCTACTTGCCTGTGTGTGTAGATGGGATCATAGAAATAAAAATAACAAAGATTTCATGCGCTCTTGAACCTACCTTCCAAGGTGGAAACTCCAGCTGTCTACAAGTTTTACCTTTGCGAGTCTCAGGACATGTTACAAAGGTTCTCAGAAAAGCAAACTGTGGAAGATTCTTACAGCAAGGCCCCAAGGAATCATGCCTTTGTGGATCTGAGCCTTTGTGCAGTCCCCTCCATACTAACCCTGGGCTTGGCCATTGGGCCATTAGCAGGTGTGATGCAGCGGAGGCCTGCAAAGTGCTTGTGCACCTGGGCTCACGCTATCTGGCTGCTGAGGGCTTTTCTGCACCTTGTCATGAAGTCTGTGGAACAGAGATGAGCCATCCCAGCCGAGATCCCCTACATCAACCTGGCCCCAGGCAACATGCCAGCTGACCTCAGCCGCGTCAATGACCTCAGGTGAATTAAAAAAATCACCCAGCTGAGCCCAGCCCAAGTTACTGACCAACATCATCATGAACTAATAACATGGTTGTTATTTTAAGCCACTATTTTGGGGTGGTTTGTTACATAAGCAATAGAGACACTGTTCTTTCGTCTAATTCTGCTCCATGTTTCTCTCTGGTGGTCACTGCCTCTGAAGTCACTTCAGATGACCTCTCACCATTATTACTACTGCTGGGGCCTGCCAAGTCAACCCTGATACCTAGAACAAGAGGGCTACTCTCTTCCAAATTGGAACGGTGTTCCATGGAGCACCTGCTGAGATATGTTACACACATACACACGCACGCACAAGCACATGCACACATGCACACATGCACGCACACTACTCCTCAAAGTTTAAAATAAAAAACCTTTGTTGTTGAATCAGCCTCTAGGAAGGAAATAAAGAGGGGTCCTCATCTGCCAAAAACAACTACTACCCACACACCTCTGGACCTTCCATCAGTATTTCAGGCTTTCTCTTATACACTAGGACAATCTAAGACCTGCTCTGAGAAATACCTGGTGGTTAG